CTTTTATACATGTTATGAAGATCTAGAAGAGAGGCACTCAAGGGCTCCCCATAAAAGAACTGACAAAGATAGAAAATACTAACTACCCTGACTTCATCAGCGCACACTGCATACATGTGTTGAAATATTACACTGAATCTCATTAATGGGTATTGATTTTTTAAATGTAAAAAAAAAACTGGCTGCACTGTGTATTTAGCCCAAAATAAATCTTTTTAACATATTCCCTAGGTGCATTGATACACAGTTTTGTGTGTCTCTCCAAAAATATTTTATGTACATTAAAGCACATATACAAATATTTCTAAAACTTATTTTTAAATACTTCACACATTGTCCTGCACCTGTTTTCTACTTAACAATATAGTTTGAGATTTTGTGTGTGTGTGTATGGTGGTCCTGAGCATTGAATTCAGAGACTTAACACTAACCTACGGCCTTATTTATTTATTTATAGACATGGTCTCACCAAGTCAATAAATTGCCCAGGGTGGACTTAAATTTATCATCTTCCTCCTTGCCTCCCAGAATCCTGGGGTTTCAGCATGTGTCAGTATGCCTACTTATCTTGGAAATTATTATATTTTTTTACTAGAGTTGCCTAAAGTTTTAAGTAACTTATTAATTATAAAGACACCCCAAAATTTAAATCCCTGCTCACTCACTTAAGGCACTGAAGTTGTTGCACATCTTTTGTTATCACAAAGCTACAATGACTATCACAAATGGGTCACTTTTCACATGCTCAAATGTGTGCATAGAACAAATTTCAAGAAGTGGAATTGCTGATTCAATAAATATCCCCTCACAATTTTTCATATATTGGTGCTTTCCATACAAAAATGTTATGCAAAATTTTTCCCCTCAGCAGTGGTTAGTCACATATGCCCGATATTGCCTCATACAGAGGGAAAGAAACAAAGATACATTTAATTTGCCTACATGTATGGAAAAGCACTTGGTTGTTCAGGAGTTAAACACTTGAATGAACACCTTCACTTCCTGAAACAGCTCTATTTTCTGACGGAAATTGTGAAATTTCTTTTTCTTTCTTTCTTTCTCTTTCTTTTCTTCCTTCCTTCTCTCTTTCCTTTTTTCTTTTTGAGACAGAGTTTCACTGTGCAGTGCAGGCTAGCCTTGAACTCACAGCCATCCTCCTGCCTCAGTCTCCTGAGGGTTGGGATTACAGGCATGTGCTAGGATGCCCAGAAACAGAAAACTATTTCTGTTTCACTTTATACACAGCCAACCTACTTTTGTTGTTATTGTTGTTACTTTTCCCTAATACATGTTTACATGATTACATTATCATGGGAAATCTGTACCTGAACACAGTACACCTTAATTTTTCAGTCCCCTTCCACTTCCTTCTTCCTCCAACTCCTGTTTCCCCTTTCATTTGCAAAAGCTCTATTTCCATTTTTTCTTCACTTAATTTTACATATCTTTGCCCCTGCTCTCCCTTCCCCTTCGTACTTGAAGATCTCCCTACTTTCTATTATCTATCTTTTATTTTGCTCTTTATTTATATTTTAGCTTTCTTACATATGAGAAACCATGTGATACTTCAATTTGTGTGTCTGCTTTATTTCACTTCACATTGTGGGGTTGAAGAGCATCCATTTACCTGGGAATGCCTCAGGTTTATCCCTCTTGATGGCATGGTACTAACCTAATTTTTTAAAGGTCTAGACTTGGCCATTAATTCTGTTCTTCTGTGTGAAACACTAGCTTGCTTTCAGAAGTCTGGCCTTTCACAACGCGTGTCACTTCGTGACTGCACTGTTCAGGCACAGTCGGTCCTGGCTGGTGCCCGGTGCCCCGCAGACTTCCACTGCTCCTGATAGCTACTTTTCCCAACGAAGAGAAACACACCATTTCAGTCTTCATTCTTTTCACCAACATCTCCTCTTCATTTGATTATTTAGCTTCCCGAAAACCTATTTCCTCACTTCCTTAACTACAGGCCTCTTCATTTCTAAAGCCAAGTCTATCTGGCCTTACTATTTTATTCAGCACTTGAAAGTACCGCAACTGACAAAAACTATTTATATGTTAAAATAGCCTTTTAACGGTATGCATCATTTAATTATCCTTGGTGCCTTATAGGTTGACAGGTAGACGAATTTTGGGTTGCTAAATTCAGGCAAGTTTCTCACTTATATCATCCAAAACTATTTTTATGTAATGATTCAAAATGAAAGAATCATCCCTCCCTACATGCGCACAAAAAAGAAAAAAAACACCACCAAATTCTAGGCTCTTCTGGGCACAGTTGACATATGCATTCTATGTGTTCAAAAATAGTTTGGTTGGTTTATCAAATCAAGGCTTGTTGGGGCGAGGGCAAGGGGTCTGGGCTGTTGATAAGATTCTCTAGGAATAACACTCTACACTGGGGAAGACTCTGGCCTGGAAGTGTGTCCTGGAAGATTCACGGGCACCAGGACTTGGGCTTTCTCTCTCCTCGGAGGCAGCCAGCGAGCCCTGCGCTCGGACAGCTCCCGCAGCGCTGGAACCCGGTGAGGCCCCGCGCTGGCCTCTCGGAGGGAGCCCGAGTGGGTGAGGGTCACCGCAGTTCTCCTGTCCCCCCACACCCCAGCGCCCTGTGCGGGCCTGAGCTCCGAGAGTGGAGCCAGAGCGGGGGATTCTCAGCCGGCTCCGAAGGCCTCCAAGATACCGCCACGCAGAGGCGACCATTTAACAGCTCCGAGAGCCCCTCAGAGACGCAGCCCGCCCGGAGGGGTCACCCCAGGCCCGGGTCCCGCCCTCCCCCGGCCTGCCTGGCGCCCCCTCGGGCCGCGGCTCCGCGCCGATCCCGGGCGCCTGCGGGAATCCGGGGCCTGCGCTGGGAAGGGGCTCGGTCCTCCCGCCGGGCAGGAACGCGGACCCCCGACGGGAAGGGGGAGGCGCGCCGCCTGTCCTCGGCGCTCGGAGCAGAAGGGCCCGGGCCAGGAGCCCCGCCTGCCCCGCCCTGCGGCCCGCTCGCCCGAGGCCCCGCTGCCTGGAGAAGCCGGAGGATGCGCACCCAGGTTAGACTAGCTACCAAGCGAGAAGGGGAAGGGAGGAGGAGGAGAGGGGGAGGGGAGGGGCGGGGAGGGGAGGGGAGAGGGGAAGGGAAAGGAAGGGAGGGGGAGGGGGGAAAGGGGAGGGGGAGGGGAGGGGAGGGGAGGGGGAGGGGAGGGGACAGAGGGAGCAGGAAGTGGAGAAGGAGAAGGGAGTGGAAAGGAGGAGGAGGGCAGGGAGGGGGAGGGGGGAGGAAGGGGGAGGGAGAGGGGAGGAAGAGGAGAGAGAAGAGGTGGAGGAGGAGAGGCAGGGCATCTCACAAAACTGGGGGTGGGGAAAGGACTGAAAATGTGGAGAATAACCACTGAACTTTGGCGCTACAGAGGCAGAAGGGTGGGAGCCAGACTTGAGGGTCGCAAGGCGTGGAATATTCCGAGTGGGTAAAGCTGTGGGGACAGCCTAAGATTTGTTGATTTCATGGTTGTGCTTAATGGGAGCAGTGTTAGGGATCAGGGATGTGGGGACTAGATGAGAATGATAGTTGCAGAACATTATGATCCTATTGTCACTTTTCGTTTTAAAAAAGGCTTTCACTGTGTTACCCATGCTGGCCTCCAACGGACATTCTCCTGTCTCCACCTCTTGGAAACAGCTGATGTCACAGGACTGTGCCACTCCCTGGGCTATGATACACTTTTAAATTGTCAATTTCATGGTATGTGGGTGAGAGAGACAGAGACAGAGAGACAGACACAGAGAGATAACAAAAAGAGAGGAAGAAAGGAAATAGAAAGAAAAAAGAAAGAAAGAAAGAAAGAAAGAAAGAAAGAAAGAAAGAAAGAAAGAAAAAGAAAAAGAAAGAGGGACTCTATCTCTCTGCGAGGAGCACTTTGGCGGGCTCATCCCTGGCACAGCTGTAGCCTGAGCCACGTTTCTGGAGAATGCTCTGCAGCCTCCTGGCTCTGTGGAGAAGCTCGCAGTTGCACTTTTGGGTTGTGATCAGTGGCAACCCCAGCACCCAGGCTACAGAAGGCCGGGCCTAGAGCAGAGATACTAAACTGGGAGACCAGGCTCAGAAGGACTCCAGCAAGCTGCACAATCTTCCTCCTAGACTGTGGACAACTTCCAAAACTTTCTGCTGCCTGAGTGAATACCCAAAACATTGAGAGGTTCCTGGTAGAGGCTGTAGTCGGGTAATAGCTGAATTCCAAGTGTAGGAGAACTCAGTAGTCTGGGGTCTTCTTGGAATTTGCACCCATCGTTTTAATTGCATTTCATTGATACTAAACCCTGCCTTTGATATTTGATCATGCCTGAGATCTAGATGTGTCTTACAATTCATGGCGTCATGCTTTAACTTTCTCTAGGAGGTATGTGAAGAAGTGGTATAGAAATAATCTCTGCAATTCCATGGGATTGGGACTAAAATTCTAGCCTTGTGTTCCATGTGGTGAGGTGATATTTCTCTCCTCTTCTATATCTCTAGCACAGTATGCAAAAGATCCTCAATAAATGTTAACTAAATTAATGAATGAGTGAATGAAAACTGTTTTTTATTTGCCTTGACTACAGTTTGCCAACAAACTGATCTGGAAAAGCCACGTTAAGTCCTTTGAGCTTTTCTTAGCTCACTAATTGGCCACAATAACGTCCAAAGCAAGAGGCTGGTCCGGAAGGGAGTCAAGAAAGAGGAAGCACCCCATAGATTTTGTTGTGGCCTGAAACTGTCCCATAAACGTCTGTTTCAAAATAAAATACCGTTTGGAAGGCTGAGACAGAAGGAATCCAAGTTGGGACCCAGCCTGGGCAATTTAGTGAGCTGCTGTCTCAAAATAAAATAAAATAAAATAAAAATAGTAAGATTGGGAATGCAAGACTCTGGCTGGAATTCTTATCACCACCCTCCCAAATACTTTTATAATGATATATAAGTAGGGGCAGAAATGGGGATTTAACATAGTAGTAAGACACATCAATGTAAAAAAAGTTCACAGTTTAATTTTTAAATATTTATTTATTGATTTGATTGGAGGGGCTGGGAATGAGCCTAGGGATTCCTGAAATGCATAGCAATCATTTGGCCACTGGCTTACAACCCCAGCTCCACATTGTAAAAAATGGTCTTTTTTTTTTTTTTTTTTCAAAAACAGTTGGAAGTAAAAAAAGCAGGGAAGATTTGGGGGGCAGAAGATGTTCTTTTTGCCTTTTGACCTTTTCAGTTGAGGACCAGAATCTGGCCTGTTTGCTGAGGACAGAAAGAATACAGGTGTTAGAAATCAGAAATCAAAGATTTGTCATCCCCCCCCCTCCTTTCACCCCTGCGTGGCGAATTAAGGTGCTTAGAGACCAGGTCCTCCGAATGGCTTCACCTGCATGCACACTTTTCTGTGCATTCACGGACTCTGGCCACAGGATCTGCCCATCCGTTCTAAACCTGTCAGTTCCACCGCACTGCCACTCCCCTGGGATCCAGAGGTCAGTGTGGCTGCTTCAGCGAGTCAGGGGAAGCTCAGCCTTGTGGCCCACAGGGTTGCAAGAGAAAAACTACTGAATGCCAAGTTTTGACCCAACAAAACACCAGGATCAGGCATGACAACATCAGCTTGTCGTTGAGTGTCCTCTAGGATCTGTTGCACCTGGTGAAGACCCAGGGGTTTCTGGACAAATGGTATCTCTTGGTCTGGTGCTAACAGACACCAAGAGAAGCTTTGGTTCCTGCTGTGTTATGCCACCTCTCCCCTCAAATTGTTAAAGGTTTCCTATATTCCTAGACCAGAATGGATGTTCTTTTTATCTATACTAATAAAGTCAGAGGCATGTGGTGGTTGGAGCAGCAGGGAGTCACAAAAAAGAAGGTGCCCCTATGGATTTGTGCTGTGGCCTGAAACATTTCTGTAAGTTTCTATAACTTTTCAAAAAATTCCTTTTGGGAGACTGAGAAGGATTCAAAGCTGGATACTGACCTGGGCAATGTAGCAACTTACTGACCTAATCTACCAAGTCCTACAAGGTCCGGTTTTACAATCATGCCACAGTCCTTGTACCTGAGACTCTCTGCCTCCAGAGATTACTTTCTTTTTGTCTGGAAGGTTCTCTAACTGCTATTTAACTTTTTTCCTACTCATGCTTATTGCTTGCATGGTTTTACAAACTCTAAAGGAAATACATTTAAAAAGAAAATACGTTTTTATCTTGCTTAATGTCTGTTTCTCAGAATGTGAGTACCAGGAGAGTAAGACTTCCGTTTCGCTCTTTGTGTACCTAGCAGCTAAACTAGGACTAGGCACATTATAGTATTTTAAGTAAAGAATTACTATAGAGCCTGGGGATGTAATGCAATGACAGAGCACATGCCTGTCTCCAGCACCAATCAGGGGAATTATAGAATCCATGGGTTTTCCATCTCTGGATTCAACTAATTCTACATAGAAAATGTAGTTAGGTCCACTATGTTTCCATCCTCATATGCAGTTTTTTTTCATGTCATGATTTCAGTTATATATATATATTGGTCTTTTTCCTTTTTATCGGTACCAGGGATTGAACTCATGACTGCCTGCTTGCAAGGCAGGCGCTTATGCCATTGAGCTAAATCCCCAGCCCCCAATGTCATTATTCCCTAAACAATATCCTATAACAACAACACAGCAAGTACATTGTGTGAGGTGTTACAAGTAATCTAGAGATGGTTTAAACTACCCAAAAACCTAAAGTTGTGGTCCACTCTTGTAATCTCAGTACTCTGAGAAGTTTAGGCATGAGCATTTCAACTTCAATCCCAGCAGTGGCAACATTGTGAGACCCTATCTCAAAACTTCATACATTCGCATCTATCTGTCTGTCTGTCTGTCTAATTTATCTATGAATGTAGCTCAGAGCAAAGGGCCAGGACTCAATCTTTACAGGCTTTGGGAGAAGGGATGGGGATATACCTCAGTGGCAGAGGGCTTGCCTGGCACTCTGGAGCCCTGGATTCCATGCCAACAGCACAAAATAATGATGATACAAATATACACTATTTACTATAAGGGACTTGAGCATCTGAGGAATTTTGTATCAACAGGTCCCCCCCCCCCAATCTAAGCCCCAGTGACACTGTAACTAGCTAGAGACTATGGGTTGGGAAAAAAAGGAAGGAAAGAGAGAAGGGAAGAAGGGACAGAGGGAGAAAAGGAAAGAGAGAAGAAGGAAGAAAAAAAAAAGATAAAGTCATATGTCTGGGATAAACTTTAGGCTTGTTTACTAGGGATCACTAAATTTATTCATTTGCTTCAACTCAGGAGCCTGCTTCCTGGCCTTTTGGCTCTTCCCTTTTCTGTACTGCGAGGTCTCTAAACTCCTATGGAAGGAGAGGTGCACCCTTCTACAGACCCCTCCCTCGCCCCCAGCACCTAGGGTGCTGCACTGTGTGTTCATACTAGAGCTAAGTGCTCCACCTTGTCCTCCCAGGCTCTGCTGCACCCTGGTTGTGAGGCAAAATAGAATGCAGGATCTTTGAAGTTACAGTTTACCTTAAATATTCATGTTATCTTCACATATTGCTTCATATGTATTTTCCTCCCAGCAAAAATCAGAATAAAGTTGATACTCAGGCATATGGGCGTAGAAATGAAGGGATGGACTGGACAGGAAGGGAGGACCATTGTGAAGGAAAGTCAAAAAGGACCTACTTCTCATTCAGTGGTCTCTAAGAAACCACTTAGCTTAGGAGAAGACAGCGGAAAGAAAGGGTCTCTATCTCCATTGCAGGTGCTCTTTAAGAACTCTCCAGAGGAGCAATAGAAAACACCACTGCCTAAGGTGGAAGCTCAGAAGTCCTTAAGTCGTGCAGAAGAGCTAAGATGGCAAGATCTCCAAATCAAACCTGGCACTGGCACACAGGGGCTGGAAATTGTGGGCTTGGCCCAACACTGTAGATGTGTGAGGCCAGATGCAAGAGTGCGACTGACCAGCTGGTTTATGGAGGAAGAAGGTGACTAGACTTCCTGCTTTTAAATCTCCAAGGCAAGGCCTCAGAGCCTGGAGCTGTGGGGAAGTGGAGCTGTTTGGGTGACTGGTGATAACAGGATTATGGGGTGGATTTTCATGCATGCTAGATCTGGTTATGTGTGGTACAATAGAAAAATACAGCAAATATTTTAGCTTTGAACATTTTTCCTACACTGAAAGACACATGGATCCTCCTGAAGATTCTCTTCCCTGTGTGGAACACAGTTATCCTATTGCCCTTGCCACTTACTGAACCCCTCTGCAGTGAGTGTGTCTGTACCTTGTTCTGCCTTGGCTGCTTACAGGAATGACTGCATTCAAGACCTTTACCTCCTTGGTTATTTTGACTATGGGGAAGAGCCAAAGACCACATGGTGGCAGAAAATGTGAATAAGGTGGAGCCTACTTCTTCTTCTTTTTTAAAAGAATCTACCTTTCTGTTGGATGGTATTTTTTAATCGCACCTTGAAAAGACATTTGCGAAAGAGGACTTCCAGAATTGCTTTAGAAAGTGGCAAGAACAAGATGAGGTAAAAGTGTTCGAAGTGCAGAGGAGCGTTCTGAGGAGGATCACCAGCAATGTGCCTTTTACCGTAATGCTTTTTAATGTGAACAGTCGCCATATGTTTCGGTCACGCCTCATCTCTGTTCCCGGCTGATGCAAACTCCTAACACTAGCATGAAGCGAACCCAGAGATCCTGCTCTCCAGGCCTCACCTTTCCCATCCAAAGTTCAGTGGAGCTTCAAAATTCCCCAGGTTCAAATCCCGAATCCTTATTCCTCACCTGGTTACCTGGTGGGACGACAGCATGGGCGCGGCTGCTGCTCACACGGCCCCAGAAGCGTTGCGCAGATACTGAGCCACGTCGCGGTGGCCCTGCTCCTCGGCCAGGTCTACAGGCAAACGGCCCCAGGCATCACGCACGTCCAGCCGCGCCCCAGCTTGGTGCAGCTCTACCAGCGTGTCCAAGAAGCCCTCCCGCGCCGCGTCATGCACTGGTCGTGCGAGGGTGACTGGGTCGGCGCAGTTGGGGTCCGCTCCGTGGAGCAGCAGCAGCCTGGCCACTTGGGTGCTGCCCATCATCATGACCTGCCAGAGGGAGCAGAGCAGTAGGGCCAGGCAGATGGACAGAAACCCTTCACCATCTCCCACCCATTCCTTCCCACAGACAACCTCATGAGTCACGGTGGTCTAAAAGCCTTCATTTGCGTCCAGTTACCGCCACCCTTTTCCAGTTCTCCTGCCGGTTCTATTTCTCCCACCCATTGAATTCCACTCTCTTAGTCAACATGTAGAAGATCTCTAGCTACAAGCAGGAGCACACACAAAGCCAAAGAGGGGTACAATAAACTGACTTTTACGACAAACTAATTTCCTGTGTTTTCCCCATTTCCAGATGAATTGATGTTAGGCTCAGATATTTTGCGTAGTTCACTGCTATAAAACCCAGACATGGTAGCTTTTAAGAAGTGTTTGAATGGTATGTGTCACACAACTTTGTTTCCCTTTTCTTCTATACAAAATGAGGTTTGTCCAGTTAGCTGTAAAGCTCCTCCTTGTTCTAGATCTAATAAAGTTACCCAAGTCATAATGTTCCCTGCCAAGGATATTAATGTCCTATACTCAAAAGCTATAACTACATCACCATCCTGGACCATCCCAAAGAAATGAAGTGCGGGGAACTCATTTTAGAATTCTGAGCTATAGAATGATAATTTTTTGCATGCTGTATCCACCAAATTTGTGATAATTTGTCACAGCAGCAAGAGGAAACCCAGACACTTCCTACATTCATGATCTGAGAGTTCATTAAACAAGAAATGTTCAACTCTTAATTCCCACATCATCTGTGAAATTAAGTTACTCCCTTACAGGACTACTTAGATGGCATGGACAGTCATTACATTCTTGCATTGTGAGTGCTGTGTGGTGGGTGATGGTGGCAGCTGATTCTTTTCAGGGTAGGCGCCCATCGTTTGGTTATATTAGCTCAGGGTGGTGACTGTCTATAGAGGAGTTATTTTTAGTTACATTCTGTATCAACTAAAACAATCACTTAATTTTCCTAAATCAGGAAACTATGATAAAATATACTATGGCTGTTGAATCCTACCGTGAAGAAAGTGAAACTAATTTAGTTTAAAAAAAGAAAAAGAAAAGAAACTAATTTAGTTTTCAAAAGGATGAGGAGAAAATGCAAGTGCACTCAATTATAGCTATAGATAGAAAAAAACATTGTAGCACACTGTTCTTTGCCTGTGACAAAGCCCTCTATCCTGGTCATTAAACTGGTCTGAAATCTTTTTCACTTACTTTATGATATGAAAAAACTGAAGAAAGTAACCCATATTTAAATAGTTAAATAATAGCAATCATAAGCAAAAAGAAAAATGAATATTTAGAGGATGTCTAAATCAGTTTAATGAGAAGTTAGTTTGAGCTTAGTATTTTCTTTTCTTTTTGTAAACCTAGTATTTCTGTATTAAAGACTAATTTGGTTAAAAACTCTAAAGAAAAACAATTTCTTCTTTTTCTGTACTAACTCACTGTCAAAACTATCGAATTTTCTATTTTATTTTTGTTATTTAATTAAAAACTGTGTCTTGTGTTATATTCTAGGATTCCAAAGACAAACTCCAAAGATGTTGGCAAATTTTTAGAGGTGTTAAATTATGACCAATGCATACATTATTTTTAAAGGAATCATGCTTAACTGATATAATTATTGAACCTCTCTAGCCTCAAACTGTCTGTGCACTTCAAATGTAAAATAATCTCAAGTCTTAAAATATTTTCACTGTATTTTCATATTTGCACTTTAAAGTCTGTAAAACTTATTCTGTGTTGCATAGTTTCAGGGAAGGAAGTCGCTTGTGCAGCTTGTAAAGTTTCAAGTAGTTATTTTCCTTTGTCTACTTATGGGGAGTTTTTGCAACATGGATTTGTTTCCTATGAATTTTCTTTTTTAGAATCAGAAGTAATAGTCACCACTGGGAATAAAACTTGGGTGGTAACTGCTGAGCAGAATTCGTTTTTTAATCTTGAAATGCAGGAAGTTAATGGAGGCAAAACCCCCCAAAATTCTAATAGTCTCCCACACCCAACTGGAGTGCAGAAGAATGAAATGACACTTTTCAACAACGAGGAATTGAAAACTCTATTACAAATAGGCTAATTTATGCCAAATAAGTAAAATATCAAGAATAGAAAGTGGCCTCAAAAAAGTAACTAAATGAGGTCACATTAATATTTTTCTCCATTGCTTGTCTTTATTTTTAAACTTTCTACAACAGGCATATGATTTCCTATTTGATTAAAATAAAAGACAATACGTAGTTGCTTCTCAATCTTTCAGTAGATATCTCAGCCAACATACAGAGCAGTAGATTTCCAACGAAAATCCCCATTAGCAGGGAAGGTAAACTTCATCCTTTCAGGGAACTATGAATCAAGGAAAGCAGTTCTAGCAAATCATTTTTAAAATGCATGTGAAAAAAAAAAAAAAATGCATGTGAAGCTCGCATTTTATCCCAGACGTTCCTGTGGAAGGGAACCGAGGGCGAGCAGCCCCCGCGCCATCTCCACCGCGCCCTCGGCCTCCGCGCGGCCCTGGGCTCGGGAGCCACGGGAACGCGGCCAAGAGAGGGGCTCCCATTCCAGACCTGGGGAGTCCCCAGAAGACATCGCCCCTTGGTGGACTGCAAAAGCACGGTGGCCCCGCTGCTCTGCCCGCCTCGCCCGGCAGAGCCCCGCGCAGACCCCCATCCCTACCTGAATCGGCCTCCGGCCGAAACGGTTCGGGGCGTCGGGCGGCGCCCCCGCCTCCAGCAGCTCCCGCACCTCCTCCACCCGGCCCCGAGCCGCAGCGGTGGCCAGCTTTTCGCCTGCCGAGTCCATGCTACTCCCTGCGCTCGCAGCCAGGCTCCCTCTGAACCCGAGGCGGGGCGTCGCGGGTCCCCATCCCCCCCTCCCCCCTCTCCAGCCCCCCTCCCTCCCCTCCCCCCCACAGCCTGGCACGTGGTCCACAGCCTCGGTCACCCGCCTGAGCTGAGCTCCGGTCCACAGCAGGAGGCGCCGTTCGCTCTGAATACAATGCAAAGTGGGAGCCAGGACTTGTCGCCCACTCAGGCTGGCCCAGAGGTGCTAGCCTGCGGGGTCCCGCCAGAGTGGGTGGGAAAGGACACCCCAGTTCCCTCCCCACCTGCTTGCCTAGAGGCGCCTCCCACCTCCTCGGGGCGGCTGTGCCTTCCCGCGCCCCAAGAGGGCCCTGAGCTCCTGCACCCCGCTTGGCGATCCCCCTTCCCGCCACCCCGTTTCCTTCCTCTCTTGTGCAATACCCTGCCATTAGAAAATTTGCTACCAAATTCAAACCAGCATACAGGGTATTCCAGGCAAAAATGAGTTGCACTTTTAATGAGCAGAAACCTCAAAGGCCTCGCCTTCCTAACAGGAAGAGGACCGGCTATGACTCGTTCCTCGTTTCGGAGGACACCTCACCCTCCCCAGCTCGACCCACAGCTCTGGCGAGTTAAGTCCACGCAGATCTGCGATGCCAGATTCAAGCTCTGAGAATTCGCTTTGGGCAGCCTGTTTGTCCGCCAGCCAGCCAGCCCTCCTCCCTTCCCGTGTAGAACAGAGATTGGGGGAGGGTTTATCTCAGTAGATATGCAATTCCTGACATAAGAAATGGCTCCAAAAATGCACTCTGTTTAACACAAAGGTAAGAATCGTGCCTGTAAGCAAACAGGAGAGTGCCAGAGGGCATCACTGGGCTGACAGTCCTCCCTCTGCAGAGTGGCAGGGCGGCTGGAAGTGGGCCACTCCGAGATTTCCTTTCCAGCCCCTCACACTTCAAGGAGTTTATTGTGACTTTAAATGAATTGATATAAATATTAAAGACAGCGTCACATAAGTAATACCTGTTAGCTATTATATTATCCTTTTAAAGGATTCACTTGCAATTTGAGACACCAAAAAGAAAATGCTTTGAGCGGAGTTTCCTATAAAAGGAAAGAGCAAGATCTAATCATTGAGAAGATGATGGAATTCCTGTACCATCTCGTGCACAATACTACGTAAAATTAAGGAGAACTCGAGAGTATCACAAACAAACATGGTTAGAACTTCCTGATTACTGCCTGTGTGCTTTTAAAATTGCTCAGATTTTGCTGTTTTACACATATGCTTAATCAATCTACTGGATAACCCAGCTCTGTTCAAACTATGTTGCAATCCCTAGTTAACTTCTCTTGTAGATTCCATACATAGTATCTCGTAGTTTGTTGCTTTTCTGTCAGCAAAACATAGTTTTAAAACGATGCCAATTAAAATGCTTATGAGATGTCAAATCTTATAAAAACCTACAGCTCATTGCTAGGACATCTGTATTTTCCTCCAGCCATTTCTCAGTAATAGTAATGATATGGAGAATTTAATTTGTGGATGAAAAACATAAAATTCTTTTTAGATTGAAATAATGGTTGTAATGATGGCAGGGAGAGAACAAATTTACTTTGTCTGTCTTACTATGTCTGACTTTTAGACCAATATCAAAACTAGTTTCCATTACCATATTATATTTTTTAACTTGGGCAGGTGGAAAGAGTAGGCACCTTCAAGGATCTGTAAGACTATGGACCCTTTCCTCAAAAAAGAACGTGTGTAATGAGTTTTTTTTTTTTAATGTGTGAGGTCACATTAAAAAGTGAGCTCACAGCCAGCCTGAACAGCACAGTGAAACCCAATCTCAAAAAAAAAAAAAAAAAAAAAAAAAAAAAAAAAAGTGTGTTCACTTGTGAATGAATATCTGAATAAAACTTTTAGGGAACTCAAGGACTGCTCTGCAAGTCAAGTATTGATTCGTGCATCAAGAATTCCGTCAACTTTGGTGCAACTCATGCCACTGGTGAAAAGAGAAAATGGGAGGTGGAACCATATAAAAACACAGTTTGTATGCATCATACGAATTAGGTGAGCCTGGGCAAATGAGCAAGTTCCTATATAAAAATAAAATTGGTAGGGAATGTAACTCAGTGGTAGAGCACTTGCCTAGCATGTGATAGGCCCTGGGTTCAATTCCTAGTACTTAAAAAAAAAAGGTGGAACATCTTTGGGTATGTTCCTTTGATTGACTCATTTACTATCAATCTTGTATAGCTATAAACAGTGCAATTTTATTCTATTTTTGAAACTTACCACATTCCCAATGTACTCATCCATCTCAGATCAGCTCTAAGGACCAACAATTCAGATAAACTGAAATATAAAGGCCAGGATCCTGGTACTGGTCATGCCTCCCTCAAATTTCACATGTATACAGTGGGATCATAATATATGTCATGGGTTCATAAATTCTAAGGCTTGTTGTTATTATCCTCTTACCTGAGAATGTGGCCATTTTTAGGTATGTGCTGCCTGTAAAGTTTTGAAAACTGACACTATCAAATTTAAGCATGCTTCAATTCTAATGTTCCTTTAAAGAAAGTATCACTTGTTATTTCATTCTGCATGCTTACAGTAAGGGTAGAGCATGGAGCCCAGGTAAGTAAAAAGAATGATCTTTACGCAATTTGAGCTTGGACTTTTCCAGTTATTTACTTATAACTTTGAACAGTTACTTAACATCTTTGGACTTCATTTTCTTATTTTATGATAGAGATAATTAACAGTACTTGCCTCAAATAGTTGTTACAGGGATTAATGAGACACTTGTACAATAGCAAAGGGAACTAGATGGCAGAAGGAAGAGCAAAATGTTAGGAAGTGAAGATGAGGCACATCTTTCAATAAAGGAGGCTGGCTTGCTTGGAGTAAGGATAAGATGCTGGAGTAGGAGGAAACGGAGATTAGGAACAGCTCTTTTGAGGAAAGAGGCATGGGTGTAAGGGGGACTCAGAAGCCAGTTCTACCAAATAGGAGCACCTCCTGCAGCAACACCTGACTACTTAAACTGAAGAAAGACTGGCAATGGAGCTACTACACCAACTTTAAGCATCAATGAATGGCTTAGATGTGAGTTTAATTCAACAAAAATTAGAGACAGTTACTTGAGAATATTTACATAAAAATACGGAATGGTATTTAAGTCTGAAAGCTTCTAAATCTGGCAAGACTTTACAAGATTGGCAAGGTAAAATCAGCAGGCTGGTGTCTATCTGTAGTCCCCGCACTCTGTGAGACTGAGATGGGGAATAAGTTTGAGCTCAGCCTGGGCATTTAAACAACACAATAAGATCATGTATTAAAATTTTTAAAAAATATTTTAAAAAGAATTGGGAATGTAGCTCTGTGAAAAGGCCCTGGGTTTTATCTGCAGTAAGGAAACAGGAAAACTGGCAAGGTGTGATATAAAACTTCTCATGTAAGCAAGATAATTTTGTTAGGAAAACAAACAAAAAAATCACAGAAATAGTTCTGGGTCAGAAAAAACTTTATGTAATTAATAAACTGCTTGTTAATTATGCAATCTTTTGGACTGTTTTTAGCTTCAATATTCCTAATCTCTTAAGTGGGTTGTACCTTGCTCTATTGTTTATATTTTATGAGATTAGTATGTCAAATAAAAAGTACACATAAATGATGTTTTTAAAAGCACACATGCATCTTTCCACTTTCAATGTTAGATTATTATAAGACTTCACATACTGAAATTTGTTCGAATCATGTACTATGTGCATATATTGGTCATTCTGATGAATATATAAGCAGAATAAATTAAATAGACAAGTAGGAGTTGCTTTACTCAGAATCCTCATTCATAACATGATTTGACAAGAGTCACTGAGAAGTTACTATACATTAGGCAGTCATTTAAAGTTGAGGATATAAAGAATGCAGTGATTTCAGGAGTGTGTATTGCTAACAACTGTGAGTACATTGCATTTGAGAGATCTTCAATTGGAATGAGCTCTCCACTATATTAAAAGAATAAGAGAAGGAAGACTTCTGTTATACTTCTTGTTATACTTCATACTATACCTCTCACAAATCTGATTCTTCAGATTTGTGTTACTCAGAAAACCAAATGTAGTTTAGGGTCTGGAAATAATTAATTAATTAATGAGAATTACTCAGTAAATAACATATCTGAGCAAGGTATGCACTGTACAATGGAGCTTCTAGACATAACTGTGTTAACCTGCAATGATGGCATCTCAGGATGCCTAATGCACTACAGAATTATTCAAAGATAAAGGAAATGGGGCTGGGGATTTAGCTCAGCGGTTCAAGTGCTTGCTTGGTAAGCGCAAGGTTATAAATTTGATCTTTGGTACAAAAAAAAAAAAGGGAGAATACACTCAAATGCAATTTAGAAAGACAGAAATGGAGAAGAATGGTATCTCAGGCCAAGCTTTCCCAACTAGTTTGTTACCTGGAACAGATGGCACTTGTTTTCTAGCTTACAAAGTGGGCATTATAGTAAGTATGCCTCAAGAGGTTGTTGTTTGATTCCAAGGGAAAAAAAATGTCCCTTAAGGTGAGAATTCTGAAAGTTTGGTGAATCAGAATTACAAGAACATTTTAAATAAGAAGCAATTTCTTTTTGCAAAGTGGCAAATAATTTATTTAGTTATTATGCACAAGGAGAAAAGTTAGGTTTAGGATGAAAAGAGATGTCTGAGAAAATACAGCAGACATTATTTAAGACAAAATAGATTTGTTAAGGGAAGACAGTGTATCTATTGCCGTGAGGAGATCCCTACAAGTTTCAAGATGGAAAATGCTTCCTTCTTGCTTCTAGTATTCTCTATTTAATTAAATTCAATGTACCACAATTGTTGAGAATTATTATTTATTAGGAGTAATGCACTCTTATGAACTCTACACTCTGCTTATTCAGAATTATTATAAAATTTCCTTGCCTATTCAAGCAGCAGCATAGTAAGGAACACAAAAGTAAAAATATCTTAATGTATTGTAGACATAATGTGTAATTATGG